GAAGTCAGTGTACTTGCATTTTTAGGTAGAGAAGGCTCTGCATTTGCTAAAGAACTTGTGACTTGAATTGTTGAACTGGAAGACTGTTAGATTACCAGCAACCCCTTTCTCTCCTTGCAATGTGAAGTGATGTGGCATATGCTTAATAAAAAATTAAATAAATAAATAAAGGTCATACACATCTTTGGAAGTGTGTCATTTGTATCCTTGAGGATGAAAGAAGTGAGAGAATGGAAATAATGCTTTCTTGTTGGCTGTAGTATCAAAAGTATAAATGACATGTGTGGTAGCTTCAGCAGCTGGGACTGCAGTTTTGGCTACTGTCAGCAGAGGCAGCTGCTTAACTGATGCGAGGATTGCAGTGATGCATTTTCTTGTTCAAGGGAGAAGGGAAGTCTGAAGATGACTTTGCTGGGACTGATGTACCACCTGGGTTGAAGAAATGTCCCAGGAAAATGGGGGCTTGCTCCTGTCCATGGAGCCAGGGGCAGTTTTCTGAGTCTGTGCAAGCTTTTGGGTCAAGGGAGGGAATTTAGTATGGGTAGATCTCTGCAACAGGGGTAGTGTGGAGAGAGTTGGACTGGGAAACAGTGAAAGGAGCAAAAAGTGGTTGAGTATGCAATAAAATAGGAGAGAAGTTAATTCAGGGAGATGAGTACAGAGAATTATGAATAAAAACTTCAAGAAGTGAAGCAGAAGAGACTGGACATACATACATATTTTTGTTTCATGTTTAGCTACTTACAAGGTGCTTGAGATGCTTTGAGAATTGAGAAAGTGCACCTTTGGGCTTGGCTGACAATACTTGGGAAAAAAAAAAGACATCTCATTATATTCTTGGATGTGTCTTGTTCTAGCACTGCAGCACTGTAACAGTGTTTGTTCATGCAGGGTGTAGTTGTTGGGCATGCTGTTTTGTGTTTGTCGCTCGATTGTTAGGGATACCACAGCTGTCCCCATGGTGACAGGAAGTCCAGCTCCTTAACTTCATTCTTTGGGAGTTGCAGACAGTGACCTCCACAATTCCCCCATTGGATTCCCATGAGTAGTTTGCAGATTGTGATCTGCAGAATCTGTATTTCCATATACAATTCAGAGATCTTATGACCAAATCCAAGGACTTTTGTTAAGGTCATTTGGCAACTTATTTAAATGGAGATGGTTTCCTGGCAGTGTCCTGCCCCCAGATGTCCCTCACAGGGATGGAAAATTACAAAAACACAGTGAGAATAATAGTAAGCATGCATGGTTAAGCAGGTATGGTTTGAAGAATGGTATTTCTCTTCCTAGCAAAGACTTAGATGCCCACAGAAGTGCAGTGGCAGTGCTGGAAAGGGTATGTGGAAGGAAAGTTGGCAAAGGAACAAGCTGCAGAGCAAGAAATAGGATCAGATCTTAATCACTGCCTCAATTCATAATCACATTTTGCTTGAAACATCTTGATTCCACTAAAGAGTCTGGTCCTTTCCAGAACGAATAAATTATTTCTCAGTTGTGTTGGCAATTTTGTTGTGATCTGAGAAGTCAAGGACGGTCTTGAACACTGGCTTGTTGAAGAGCAGCTAAAAAACAAACCAACTCCAGTTCAAATAAACCTAAATTTCTTTTCCACTGTGAACCCTAAAAGCAGTGTTTAAACGCCTCAAACAATAGCGAGCTGATGAATCAGCCTCAACATACAAAGGCTCTTTCTAGGCAGCAGGCAAAGGCGTAATGAATGCAGAGTAAGAAACAGATCCAATTATTTTAATCCCAGAGGAAATACATCCCTCATTGAAGCTGGTGGGGAAAGGGCTATGATGCTGCTGAGAGGTTTTTTTTGTTGGCAGTGGACATCCTGTCTTGATACATGGTTCTGTATAGTGTCAGAGAGCTTGGAGCCTTTTTCTTGCAGATCACTTCTGCCTCAATTTGACGTTGGATTTTTTGAGTATTCTTTTGTTGTTTTGGTTTTGTTTGGGGTTTTAATGTTGCTCATGTGACCCCATATCAGTTGTAAAGAACTCCTTCCAAAGTGCTGCTTGAATACTGCATGCGTGACAGCAACCGGGAGATGCTGAAACTCGGAAAGTTGTGTATCAAAGCAGAGAAATATTAAGACCAATTTACAAATACAGTAAGGTAGGTTGTTTGGTATACTCTGTAGTGGTACGTTTAGGCTGACTTGTTCTAAAATGTGGAATGAGGGTCAATTTTGTAGCTAGAGCATTTTCCCGTTACTTGCAGCCTGAGGTCACATCATACTTTCTTACTCTGCAGATATCATGACATTTGATACCTGTTACCTGTTCAAAGTTGCAGACCATTGAGGACTTTGTATGAGCTAAACAATAACTATCATGCAGTAGGTAGAGGATTGCTCCTTTCAGACTGTCGTAACCTGTTCCCATGCTTCTTATCTGTGAAGGTTCTTGTTGGGTAGCTGTTAGAGATGAGAATTTAATTTCACAGCGGTGTTTGTTAATTTTGCATTTCTTACAGCAAGGGTTAAGTCTCACATCTTACTCTCACTTACAAAGGTAACTTTTGAAAGCTTTATTTCATCCCATACAGTCTGAACTGTGTATTTTAATACGGTAGGGAGGTCACAAAGGCAAAACTACTCATCAGAATATTGAAATTGATAGTATTTACTGAAGTGGCTTTTGTATGCTAATTATTGAAGTAGAACCCCATTCATTAAGTCAGTCTTTGGACAATTACAAAGAGCCAGCACCATATTGACAACCGCTTAAATAGTTAATAAATGCGACTTGCATCATAAAAAGTGTTTAAACTTTACCCATTCACAGGGAGGGATACAAAAATACATAATATGCAGGCATTATCTTAGTGAGTGCTCTTGGTCAAAATAAAATGCTCTTAAACAAATGAAATACAGTTGATCAGATTCTTTGTGTGCAGTAACAGTCATGGTAGGACAAATGGCCATTTCTCTGGTAGCTATCAAGCCTCTGACCCTTATATGGAGGTTCAGATCTTTCATATGGCCACTGTTTTTACCCAGATGAGACTTTAAATAACAGTGTCTCACTCCCCCTCCCAACCAAGCAACTAACCAAAAATAATGGCCAAAAAAAGTCCACAAAAAACCCTCTAAACCGTAAAGGCTAAGCACTGGAGGAATTAATCAAGAAATACTCTCCATCTTACGTGGAACTTTTCTTTGGGATTAGCAAAGAATAGATCTGTAATAAAAAACAGCCATGAGTCCTTTACGGTTTTTAAATCTTTGAGCTGCTGTTATTCAGAATGATAGAAGTCTTCAAGGGAGAGTTTTTTGAAAGATAATCAAATGTGGAAAGAGAGACTCTTTGTAAGTACCTTTATAGAAGGAAAGGCTGTGGTTTGTGCATTAATAGACCCCCAAATACTTGCACAGGAAAGGTGTCTTAAGTTGTGACTGGAAGACAAGTCTAAGGTGGAGCTTGTAGTCAGGAAACAAGCATAGGAAAACGAACTATTGTACTAATACTGAATTTATTAAAATCTGCTTAATTATGCAGTTGCTTCAGATTCTGTGTTTTTGGGTACCTTATTTGTCTAGTTTCCTGTGGAAAGAAGCCACACATAATCCTGTGTGCGTGGGCCTTGTGCATTCACATTGATCACCAGTCAAATCTTTTTTGGCGCGTTGTTTGGCGTGGACAATTATAACAGATAAGGATCTGAAGGAAAACAGAGTTGTCCAAGAAAATACAGTTCCAAGTGAATAACTCTGCTCATGTCTTTTTGGGGAAATAATTGCAGTGCGTGTTTTGCTAGAAAAGGAGGAAGAACTGTCATGAATGCGCAAGCTTCAGGGGGTCCTTTCTTAGGTGCTGAGTTAACCACAAGATGTGAAAATGCAGGTTCTGTTGTTCATAATGAACTATTATTGGTAATGATGAATGAAGTCTTGGAAAAATATGCAGGATAATTAAGAGTGAAAAACAGTGTTCTGACTTGTTAAAATAATTTAGTTTAACTGATCATTTCTGATCATGTTTTTGTTTCTGTATTAGAGGGTATTGTCCTCTCATTTAGTTTCTGCTCATAGACAAGAGCTTCCTCACAATCCTAGTACTATTTTGAACTTTCTCCTGTTTTCTGATTATTTTATGTTTTTAGCAAGGGCAAATGAAGAGAAATAAAACTCCCCTAGCTTAAGAAGCAGGTGGACAAGTGGTGTGGTCTGAACTGCTAGGGAAGACAGTATTAGCTTCTCACAGTTGTTTGCTTTTGGGAGTTCGGAAAACAATGTAATGACCTTAGTGGATGAGCTAAGTAGCCAGATTGAAATAAGCCCCTAGCATCTGGGAAACAGTTTCAACCATGGTTGGTTGTTTTGGTTCGGTTGTTTTTTAGTATGTATTAGTACTTATGTTTGGGGGGGGCTTAGTTTTGCATTTTAAGTTGTTTGCTTTTTCTGAGTCTGGTAATTTTTCCTCTTTTGTAGTAGTTGTTAAGGCATTCTCTTTTGTTTCTTTCAGCAGCTTGGAAACCTGGTGGTGGAAGTAAGGCCTAAAACCTTACTGGTACCTGTTTCAGAGGAATTTTGACTTGCAGTAAATACTGCATTAGACCTGTAGAGTAATCTTTTACAGAAAATGAGGGACAGAACTGCAGTCATAATATATGATCAGGGCTGGGGGAGAGGAAGGGAAAAGCTTCTTCCAGCTCCTTAGTCCTCATAATTATCAATTTGAATTTTAGTCATTTTTAGTTGAAAACACTAAAGCACTGGATTTCTAATATTTATTTTCTTGTTTTAAGACAATTACTGAAAAATCTGAACTGCTCTGGTATATACTTGACCCATTCCAAACATATTGTGATAATTTTGCCTTAATGGAAGCTTTAAAGTAATTATCAGCTCTCTAATTAGAACTTAAATTTATATTTAGGTTAAGATACAGTCTTTCAGCATGCTTGCATATATATGTCTAATTTCTTTAAAATATATTCTGAAGAATCCTTTAGTGATCTGTTTTGTGTATCTAATGCTTTTGTTTCAACAGGTAGCGTTACTGGGATTAGAAGTTTTAGGTGCCTTTGTTGACAGACTATCAGGACGCTTTAAATCCTATATAGGAACCGGTAAGTGAAATATAACTTTTTCTTAAGACCAAAAAGTAAGACGTGTTTGGTTTTGTTTGGCTTGTTTTTTTCTCACTCCTCCCCTAGCAGCTGAAGTGTTGAAAGCTTTTTGAGCTAATTATAATAACACATTGGTAGGCATCTTATTGCTGTTGTTAGTATTGAGGTAATTTTATATTAACTTGTAAATATTAATTTGTCAGCAATGACTGATTTTTAGGTGGTAGTTGGGATTTTTTTAAAAGTTCCAGAAATATCTTTTCAGTAATTAGCTTCACACTAAATAGTTGCTTACCACTCCCATGCTATGTACTTGCTTACCACTCCCCAAGACAGTAATCTAAAACTTACATTGGAACATAAGTGTTACCTTTAACGTGATTGAAAGTTTTATTTGTAGATCACTTTAATTAGAGCCTTATGTCTGCTGAAGCCTGTGGTTTCAAAGGACTCTGTGGTCTACCTCCTGTTAGATATCTGGACTGTAGTTTTTAGTAGTCTAAACTTTTTTATGAGGTAACAAAAAAAAGAGCACTGGCTGTTATTCTTATGTGAAATGTTAACTTGAATAAATTTCAAATTAATGGATCTGCTTGTGCCTGAATATGAAACAATTGTTCTGGGAAGTACAAGCAATCTGCGCTGCCCAGCTCATTTTGCTGCTGTCCTTGAAAATAGATAGTGATGGTAGGGCATTAACAGTGGTGTTGTATCACTGGCTATTTTTAACAGACATTTCTAACTTAGAGCCCTTTTCCAAAATTTATGTGAATTATCCTGTTTTGATCCCAAGTGCCCACCTATCTCAAATTGTCTGTCAAAGTTTTAAGTTTCCTCTTCTTTGTCTACTTTTGTATTTTAGAGTTAAGAAATCAGTGAAACTTGGAAGTTTAAGAATACAAAGCATAGTTTATGACAAGCTGCTAACTAAATTCATTGAAAGCATATTTCAGAATGCTGTAGAACTACTGCAGTAGTGCACTACAGAATTTAAAACTGTTTTGTTGCATACGGTTTTTCTTTGGCTGGTTAGTTTTATGTTGGAGCATTGTAAGGGAACTGGAGGCGTGTTGTGCTATGCAGAATGTTGATTTCTGAATGGTCTCCATTTATGGCTACAAACAGGGCTAGGCTTTAGAGTGTCACTCAGTTTTGATTTATATTCTAATGGTATGCAGAACTTAAAATTACAGCAACTTCATTAAAGGTTGGAAAATTGTGGGTTCTTAATTTCTTTTGGGTTTTTTTTTGGTTTGTTTTTTTAAGGCTGAACTATTTAAGAATAGTTTGCAAACACAATTTTTTTTTCTCTCAGCATTTGAGTAGTTCGAGATTATGAGCAAATGGAAGATTTAAATTGCAGTACTCAGGAGCGTTTGTATTAAAAACAAACAAAAAAGAGTACTGATACTGGATGACCATCAAACATGTGTACCATCAGTAGACATCTGAAGCTGTGTATTTCAGAAGTACCTTTTAGAAAAGCTGAGTAGTAGTGCCTTCAACTGAAATTGGTCTTCTGAGCCTCTCCAGAATCAAGACCTGTAGAGTGCATTACGCTGAATATGCAAGTCACTCTTGTGCATGATCAGCTTTTATATACGCTTAACAGACACAAATGTCTGTAAAGGCAGAAAACAGTCTTTTACATGACTGTGATTTATAGTATGAATTCTTTTCAGTTGGTAGCTGTCTCTCAAAGTCTTATAATGAGATTTGGATCATTTTCAGTTGTTGTCAGTTAAGCAGTAATACAAAAAATTTATTGTAAATGTCTGGGAGTGGGGATATTCTGGGGTTTATGAGAGTAATTAAAAGCACACTGGTGAGCAAGAAAACTGCTTTCTTCAACAAAACTTAAAGAACCAGCATTTTCCTAAATCATGTTCTGTTGCCTATGCAGATTTGGCTTCTAATGTAGTCTGAGAATGGCTCCAGGAAGTCTGACCAAAGACTCGTGTCTGACAGTGATCTGTTTGCAGATGCCCGAGAAGAAAGTAAGGACAGGACCAACATGGAGTCATAACTCCTTCAGTGTGACCCCCTAGCTGTCAGCTGTCCTGCAGTTTAGGGCCAGCTAAGGCAGATGGCATCCTCAATGTCTCTCCTGTCACCCCGTTTACTTACAGCTTTATCTAGTTGATTTTTGAACCCACATTGATGTTTGGCCTCTATGGTGTTCTGTAGTAATGCTTAATTATGCAAAACTCTTGTTTTGGTCTAGCTGCCTGATAACTTGATGCTTTCTAAACCTTGTGTTAGAGGGTTGACCCACTATTTTTTATGTTCTTGACTGCCAGTCTTCATTTCTATGGATCTCTTCTGTGCCTCTCCTCTGCTATGCTTCCTGCCCCCCACTCCACCCCCTACCCTAGGCAAGAGTCCCAGGCTAATTCTTTCTGGTATACACATGGTTTCACGGTTTTTATTGTTATTGCCTCCCCTTTTAGCGCCTTTCTGTTGTGGTGCTTTTGAGTTGAGGAAGCCATAACAGCACAGATGTAGCATATGTTTATAGTGGCATAATTCTGCTTGGTTTTACTATGTTATCTATTACTTTCATAATTATTGATAATCTGTTTCTTTTTCTGTTCTTGATATTTCTTATCAGTCTTGCTTCCTGAAAACTGACCTAATATATTAATAAGACAGTCTACTGTAACAACATGTTTCCTGTGCAGTGATGGTGGATTTTAGGGTCCACTGTACAGGGTGATGTCTCTTCCTCCATGTTGCCTTCCTTTCTGTAACACCCCTTCTTGAGAATGATGTGAAAAATCAACTGCACTTCATTAGCTGAGTTACCGTCTGCACAGCTGTTCTGCTGCAGAGAGCTCTTAAAAGTTTGTGAGGTACCACTTCTTTTTATAAAAGCTGTATTGTCACTTTGGTGCCATAGCTGACTCTGTGTGCTAATACTAGCTGTAGGGAGTTCTTTACAGATGCCAGAAGAAAGTAGAATCATTGAATCATTTAGGTTGGAAAAGACCTTTAAGGTCACCGAATCCGACAGTTAACCTAGCACTGCCTGGTTTAAAACATGTGTGTAAGCACATCTACAGGTCTTTTAAATACCTCCAGGGATGGTGACTCAAACGCTTCTCTGGGCACCCTGTTCCAATGCTTGGCAGTCCTTTTGGTGAAAATTTTTTCCTGATATCAAATCTACATCTCTCCTGAAGCAACCTTGAGGCCGTTTCCTCTTGTCCTATCACTTGTTACTCAGGAGAAGACACTTCAATACAGCATCCTTTCAGGTAGCTGTAGAGGGTGATAGGGTCTCCTCCCCTCAGTCCCTTTTTCTCCAGGCTAAACAGCTGCAGTTCCTTCAGCGGCTCTTCATAAGACTTGTGCTCCAGATCCTTCACCAGCTTTGTTGCCCTTCTCTGGATATGCTTGAGCACCTCAATGCTTTCCTGTAGGGATGGGCCCAAAACTGAACACAGCATTCAAGGTGTGGCCTCACCAGTGCTGAGTATAAGGGGCATGATCACTTCCTTACTCCTGCTGGCCATGCTGTTTCTGATGGAAGCCAGGATGCTTTTGGCCTTCTTGGCCACCTGGGCATGGAGCTGGCTTGTATTCAGCTGTCTGTCGACCAGCATTGCCTGGTCCTTTTCCACCAGCCAAATTTCCAGCCACTCTTCCCCAGGCCTGTAGCATTGCATGGGGTTGTTGTGACTCAGGTGTAGGACCCAGCACTTGGCCTTGTTGAACCTCGTACAGTTGGCCTTGGTCCATTGATCTAGCCTGTCCAGATGCCTCTGCAGATCCTTCCTACCCTCAGGCTGATCAACACTCCCACCCAACTTGGTGTTGTCTGCAAACTTACTGAGGGAGCACTCAGTCCCCTCATCCATGTCATTAAAGATGTTAAACAGAACTGGCCCCACTACTGAGCCCAGGGGACACCACTTGTGACTGGCTGCCAACTGGATTTAACTCCATTCACCACAACTCTTTGGGCCTGGCCATCCAGACAGATTTTTACCCAGCGGAAAGTATTCCTGTCCAAGCCATAAGCAGCCAGTTTCTCCAGGAGAATGCTGTGGGAGTACTTTCAGTTCAGGTTTTAGATGGAACCTCCTTTTTGCATCTGGATGATGAAAATTGCTTAGAAGTAGGGAAAAAACCACCTTTTTCCCCCTCCGCAGAATTTCTACAAAGTGTCCATAGTTGGTTCTTCTCAAATGCATAACTATTCCATGCAAACAGCCATTTTAATTTTTTAAATCTTGGTTTTGTCCAGTTAGGTCATTGTTTGATGTGAGCAGGAGGGTAATTATGTATTGCAAATTCGCAGTTCATACAGGTGATATGAGAAGAAAATAAAGGTCATGGTATCATGCCTGAAAACATTGGGAAATTTGGAAGCAAAATGCTTCAACTTAGTAATGAGATTCTTGTAGTCCTATGTGAAGACTTTTTTGTGTGGTAGGCATTTACTTTCTTCTGTTTTGGTCAAACAAATGTGAATATATTATTTATCAAAGGCAAGCATAGTAGAACTTATCCAGGCAATTTAGTTATTATTTTGAAATATTCAAAATATAGTTAACTTCTTGTTTATGGCAGTAGGTTATTGTAGACACTTGCATTCTCGCTTAAGTTCAGGATTGCACTACGAATATAGCTAAGGAAGGTGTATATGTAAAATACCTTCCTGTGCTGTTTTCTACCCTTTTAAAGAATACAGTAAATCCTAATTTGTAGGTGTAATTTTGGTTTTATAGCTGTCTTTTGTCATAGAATACCTGGAACCTTGAATGTGTTTTTGTCTTAATAAAGAATGTTACTTTTTGGTGACCCTGAGATGTTTTTATTCATGATTCAGAACTCAGTAAACAATGGAAGTATAACAGCATATTACCCAACTGTAACATGGCAAAACAGTATTTTTTCCCCTGTTTAATTTCCTGTTCAGTTATGATGGAGGAAGATTTAAGTGCAGAGAAATATAACTAATGTGACTGAATATTCACCCCCATAAGCATTACAGG